TCACATTTATTTCACATTCAGAAGGTTATCATTCTTTGCAGTCAAACGTGTTAGAAATTTAATACTCTAAATTGAAGCTTAGATTCTGCCAATGTTGATGGTGTTTGTTTCCCTGTTTGACAAGTATGAAACTCACTATGACTATGTAGCATATGAGTGGATTTTTCGAGCTCTTATCTTCAAACTTTTCAAGATTGCTGAAGGTATTCTGTCTAGTTTCCTTGGTTGTTAAGTTGTATATCCAGTACACTGATACTCTCCTTAATCCTGCTGGCAGTCACATTCTATAATCCCGTTGTCACATTGCTGTGTTCTACCTTGTATCGTATTTTGAGCATCCAAAACACTTCTGTTACCTAAAACAAGGTAATGTTCTCTGGGAATTTCAGGTAAAGATTTGGATGAAATTTTGAGAATTCCCTATTCCTTGCTGATAGCCCATCCTCAGGTGAAGTAGAGATGGAAAAGGAAGCTATTGGGATCCATGAAATTCCAATCCTGCCTAGCTCCTTCACCCTACAAAATGGAGTTGCTTAGGAGTTGTGTAGCAGTAGCACTTGTGTAGAAATCGTAACATCTGGATGAACGGAGTTCCGTGGAGCTTCAGCACTAGACCCCTCTTCTAGCAGCTCTGCTAAGCTGACCAACTGTCTATAGTAAAGAGAGGCACCTTGAAGTCTTCAGACACATTCTCCCCAGTTATCCAAACCCAGTTATCTCAGTGTTTTTGTATGTCCCCAGAGACCATTGGATGTAATGCCCATGCGGGCAGGGGACTGGACTCGATGACCTCTCGAGGTCCTTTCCAGTCCTAGAATCTATGAATATACAATATTCTGTTTGAAAGGGTAAATGGTACACAAGAGTAAAGTTATGCAGGAGCAGACCAGCAGTATGATAGAAATAGGGGGAAATGGAGGAAGGGAATAGAACAAAGGTAGAATTATCATTAAGGTATACTTTGGTAAAGGCACTTTATTTTTTGTAATTGGAACCACCTCAGAAATAGTCTCTGGCCTAGTAAGTGATGAATCATATCTTCCTCTGCTTGAGGGAACCTCAAGGTGTAAGTATATTCCCAAGTAGCCCAGATATTTTTTAAGGTCCATGTCTTTCCTTGGTTGGTCAGGTTGTATGGGCAAAGGGTGAGGATCTGAGGCTGGTGTAGGTATTCTGCCCCCCATTATTATGAGTCTGCTGCATTTATTTTAGTATTTTTACTATATGATAAATGCACTTAGAGCTTTGGATGAGCACTTTTTCATATTTATAAGACAATCTACTGCACCAAGGTCAATTCCACTTTGTAGTCTCTAACAATGTGAGGCATCAGCGGAGCAGTATCTTAAATTAATTTGGTGAGTTTTCTGCTCTAGTTTTCAGGATTTACACTTTTTGCAAATCTGAAAGTTTGTTGAGAAGTCTCCTTATGGAAGTTTAGGACTCCTGAATTGCTAGGTACCAGGTTGGTATTTAAAGCAAGTCTCTGCTTTTGTAATGGACTTGTTCTTTTCTAGACCATTACAGTTAATATTTAAGCATATTTCAAATTGTTGTGAACTCTTAATTTTTTTCAGCGAATACAGAATAAGTGAACTCTGAAACTACTTAAATTAAAAATGATTAGCTTTATTTTATAAACTATTAGACATGCTAAACTATTATCGTGCAGTTTAAATGTCACAAAAGCTGATACCAGTGTTGTGTAATCAGAGAGGTTTTTGTGTAAGTATACAGTAAGGGCCAGATACTGCACTCCTTTTTCACTTAGAATTACTGTTGGAGGATCAGGCTTAAATGCCCAGAACCTTTCTACTATAAATGTAAAATCTGCTAGTAAAGGACTGGAATTTTTCAAATCTAAAAGTTATGGATCTTTTTTAAATTTGTTTTTGTGTGATAAAATTGTTTTTTCTTTCATTGGCTTAGCTACAAATAATTGTCATTTTCTTCTTTAGCTTTAATACTTGTAATCTGCCACGTGTAGTGAAAGAACAAAAATGTTTGTGGTGTTAGAAGTGGCTGCTGAACACACTAAAACTTATACAGTATTTAAGACTGGAAATGAAGACAGTTCAGTGATTATAGGGGATGGAGATTTGAGGCAATGAGATTATGGACTAGTGGTTCAGTGTGCATTCATTCCCAGTCTTATTTTTTCAATGCTAATTTTAAAAAGGCATAATAAAGTTTTGGTACTATGCACAACCCTCTCACTTGGAGGTCCGGCAGTGGAAGAAGTCATATTACACACTGTGATGCACTACAAAATACAGCTTTACTAACTCTTTTTGTATTCAATATAAGAAATTAAAAGTACTCTGGAGAAGGAGGCTGTTTAAACTGTCACCCTATTTTTTCTCCTTCAGACCCTCACTGCTCCTCCCAAACTCTCTCGCCATGTCCTGTCATCATAGGGTAGATTATCTTTGTTCCTCCATTACCTTTCTTCTTCATCTATTGAACATAATGACATGTAATTTCAAAAAGGCTCTATCAGCTAATCAGAAGGCAGCTTTGGACAACAAGTCATGACTAATTTTAATTTATTTATAGCTACAATATTCAAACTGCTCTTCAAATTAATAAAAAAAGAACTAGATAAATTTATGGCGGATAGGTCTATCGATGGCTATTAGCCAACATGGACAGGGATGGTGTCCCTAGAGTCTGTTTGCCAGAAGCTGGGAATGGGCAACGGGATGGATCACTTGATGATTATGTGTTCTGTTCATTCCCACTGCTGGAAGTCAGGATACTGGGATAGATGCACCTTTGGTCTGACCCAGTATGGCCATTCTTATGTTCTTAATGTTTTTGTATGGCAATATTTCTCACTTTTTTAGTAACTTGTCATTTTCTGGGCATTTCATTTAAAGAACAAAACTTAAGACAAGTTCATTTGTCTTTTATGCCAAACAGCGTTAAACACAAAATTAAGATTAAGTCAGACATCAACTTTCAGTTATTGTGAAACTTGTCCTTTTGCTTTTGCCTTGATGACATGTTGTCATGTCTTGTCAGAGTTGAGCTCAGCATGACCCAACAATGGATTGTTTTGTTGTGATTGTAAGTCAGTTCTAGTAATAATTTAAAAAGAGAACCATGAGAGAGAGAGGTTATCCTCAAATAGAAAATAGTTGTCTAGTGGGTTAACGAAAAGAGCCTGAGAGGAACCGACTTTTAGATTTACTGTGGTCCAGCCTGTTTATGTAAACAGATATGTGGTGTATGGTCAAATTGGACCACAGCTACTATTAATAGTGGAAGTTCTTGCCAGGCCTGCACCCGGGGGGATGGGGAGTATATGTGGGTAGGGGTGTGTACTGTTGCAGGAACAGTTGCATTGATGCACTGAGGTCAGTTTCTGCAGTGAATGCAACCCACCTACAGTCAGAACTTTATCTGTGTTCCAAAATCTGTTGTACCTAGCAAGGTGGAAATGTTCACCTCCCCAAAATGCATACTGAGGCCTTCTCTACATACAGAAGCGGCACCTCTTCAACTTAAATCACATTTTAAACCAGTGTAAAGGCTGTGTGGACTCATTTTGGGTTTAAACCAGGCTTATTTTAGTTTCATTTAAATCCAAAATAAGAATGTCTACAGTCTTTTGCACTGGTTTAGCTAAATGGGTTTAACATCACATATTAAGTTAAACCAGTGCAACTTTATTTTATAATGTGTACTGTATTTTGTGTAGACTAACCCTTAGAAGGCAGGTTACTTTATCCAGCTGCTCCCTGATTTATTCTGTGCTGGCTGGGGTACTTGATTAAGTAGAAACAGGGAACTCAAAACACAAGTTGCTCTGTGAATGTATGGATGCACAGTAGCCCTGGCAAAGATGAAAGCGTATTTGATGCAAGCAGCTTATCCTGTCAAACCAAATTAGAGTGGGAAAAACAAATGAGAAATTCATATATAACTAAAAGTACTTGGCAGAGACTTGTACCAGAGGACTATGGGGCAGCGAATGGAAATAAAGAGCTATCTTCCTGGATACTGTATGTTTATAGCTGGGCTTTTGTAGAAGCTCAGACTTCAAAAACAATGTGAGAGCAGACTGGAAAAAGCAATAGCAACTCAGCATTCCACTTTAGTCATCTCTTAAGAATTCATAAAACTAGGTATTACTAACTTTTATCCACGGATCGGTTTGAATGCAGGTTTTTATTTTCCTATCACATTTAGTAGGTTGTTTTTGAAGTACCTTATCATATTGGCATTTTTCTGTTATAAATACCAAATGTGCCAGTGAATGTTATTTATTTTTCTGTTATAAATGCCATTCTTTTTCAGGGGCTTTCTAACATGTTTGTTTAAAAAATAATCCTCCAAATATAAATGACATGTAGCATCTTAGCTCGGGGAAAACTTTTTACAACACATTTTCAAATATCTGAGATGGAACTTTGAAAAATGTGTTTTGTATGTGTATATAAACTGCTTTAAGTATTTTATTTTCACATAAATGTCTGCTACTTTAGTCATTCTGTCCTTTCCACTGTTTGGAAGTAGCTTCCTTTTTTGATGCTGTTGGTTGCTTGCTCCCCCTGCTGGCATGTTAATGCTAATAAGCACACTGATCCCCCAGCCCGGGGGTTGGCAGCCTTTCAGAGGTGGTGTGCCGAGTCTTCATTTATTCACTCTAATATAAGGTTTCACGTGCCAGTAATGCATTTTAACATTTTTAGAAGGTCTCTTTCAAAACGTCTATAATATATAACTAAACTATTGTTGTATGTAAAGTAAATAAGGTTTTTAAAATGTTTAAGAAGCTTCATTTAAAATTAAGTTAAAATGCAGAGCCCCTCGTACTGGTGACCAGGACCCGGACAGTGTGAGTGCCACTGAAAATCAGCTCGCGTGCTGCCTTTGGCACCTGTGCCATAGGTTGCCTACCCCTGCCCCAGTCTGTCTGTGTGTCAACCAACTGTGATAAAGGTGTATGTAACCCATACAACTTCAATACATATGACATTTTCTCTTCTTTTCAGGTCCAGTGCAAAATCAGATGCAGTTCCCTTTTGGATATGGCTTACATCTTGAAAACTATAGTGCTTCCTCCGGACACTACCCACCAGTTCCCCATGAAGCTGTCCCTTCGCAGTTGAATAACCAGTATGTTGCTGATTACCACTCTGCTTGCTATTCAATCCCAGTGCAAAGTGTCATGACAACTTCCGTGGGTCCCAGCATGTTGAACACACAGCAGTTGTACAGTGGGGCTCCTCATCCTGTGGAGTCAGCTGGAGGACTTACCCAAGGAGCAATATCATCTGCATCTCATTTACATACAAGTGTTCCACAGTCATATTCTGCAGTGAGTAGTCACTACAGTTCTTCAACCAGCTCTTCAGTTGCGTCTCAGGGATTTCCCCTTTCTTCTGGTCGTTATGCCATGCCTACCGTCTCTAGTGCTGTATATCCTAACCTTTCCTATCCTTCCATGTCTGTTGGTAGTCCATATGGGCAGGTATTTACTTCCCAGAGCCTTCCAGCTGTTGGACAGTTTGAAGAGACTAATACATTTCCTGATCAAAGTTCAACTGTACCTCGTACACTGCAACAGCAAGTTCCTTTGGGATATAATTCTACATCATGGTCCACTTCAGATTTTCAGTCAGCTCAAGACAACTTCAGCAGGAATAACACTGGATCCCTGGCTAAAGCAAGCAACCAAATAAATACAGGTATAGTACTATGCCAAAATCAGGAAACTTCTAAATGAAATGAAATGAAGTATTTTTCCATAATTGAAGAAATTTAAGTGATAGTTTATAATGATGATACCTCATGGAAATCTGAAAATATTTTAAATGTAGGTATTTCTGTTAATTTGTTGTAATAGACATTTGCATGAATACAGGGCCTCTGTATCCTTTAAGTTTATCACCTCCTGTTCCTTATTAATTCATTGAAGACGTTATTTTCCTGTTTGTGAGGACATAATTCTCTCCATAGCAGCTAATTGTGTTATTGCTGACAGCTGTGTGACTTGCATCTCTCTCAGTGGAAGTCAGCTAAGGAAAAAGAAACTATTTTTGTGCAAACGTTTCTAATAAACATTTTGGGAAAGAATACATAAACATATGCGTAAACAGAACTGAAGAGTCAAAGAGGCTTCTAATACCTAGTATATCTATGTTTAGGGAGAAAAAATAGACAAACTAGATATATTTTCTCTCAATCAGCTCTGAAGATAGAGAACCTAATCAAAAATCAGTTTGTCATGCCCCAACATGGTGATTAATACTTGCAAATGCTAGTGAAGGAAAACTCTACCTATTTTTCTGAGCCCACTCTGAAAATTCAAAAGGTGGAAAACCTAAATGCATTCGAAAATCCTATCGCTGGTAGCAGCCATCTTGCTGATAAGTTACTTGCACATTGGCAACATCACATTTTTAGCAAGGTAGCTGCTCCCAATATCAACTGTAATAAGAAAAACCCTTAATTCTGTTAGATACCTTATTTTTTTGTTTAAGGTGGTAAGTTTCTCACATTTTTAAGTTCCTGACTGTGAGCTGAGCAAGATGGGTATAGTTTTCCTTTACTGGAAGAAATGGATACTAAACAACTGAACACACCTTAATTAGAAAACAATCTATTTCAAATTCTCATTGCACATTTGGAGATGATGTAAGAATTTTTTTAGCTGGGAAAACTTGGGTTAGAGGCTTATTAAAAGAGAGTTTGAGAGAGGTGCTTATGTTTCTTTAGCTGAAGGTTTGTCTTGACTAGGAAAAATGGTTGCGTTCTGGTCAGGCTAAGCCCTGGTCTACACTACGGGGTTGGGTCGAATTTAGCCGCGTTAGGTCGATTTAAAAATGACTGCGTCCGCACAACCAACCCCGTTCCATTGACCTAAAGGGCTCTTAAAATCGACTTCTGTACTCCTCCCTGACGAGGGGAGTAGCACTAAAATCGACCTTGCTGGGTCGAATTTGGGGTAGTGCAGATGCAAATCGATGGTATTGGCTTCCGGGAGCTATCCCAGAGTGTTCCATTGTGACCGCTCAGGACAGCACTTTGAACTCCAATGCACTAGCCAAGTACAAAGGAAATGCCCTCTGAACTTTTTAATTTCATTTCCTGTTTGGTCAGCGTGGCGAACTCAGCAGCACAGGTGACCATGCAGTCCCCTCAGAATCGTAGAGCGTAGAATGTTTCTATGCTCCCCCTAGCATCTCTGTCCCTGAGGTTATCGCAGATTAGAAGGCAAAAAAACGCACTCATGATGACGTTTTCCGAGCTCATGTAGTCCTCCCACACGGATAGGGCACAGCTTAATGCATGGAGGCATTCAGTGGCAGAGGCCAGGAAAGAATTAAGTGAGCGCGAAGAGCGGAAGCAGGACGCAATGCTGAGACTAATGGGGGAGCAAACAGACATGATGAAGCGTCTGTTGGAGCTGCAGGAAAGCCAACAAGAGCACAGACCCCCGCTGCATCCACTGTATAACCACCTACCCTCCTCCCCATATGGGGCGGGAGGAGGCTCCGGGCACCCAGCCACTCCACTCCAGAGGATGGCCCAAGCAACAGAAAGCTGTCATTCAAACAGTTAGATTTTTAGTGTGGCTACAATAAGCAATGTGGCCTTTTCCTTCCCTCCTCCCCCACCCCACCTGGGCTACCTTGTCCGTTATCTCATTTTTTTTTTTTTTTTAATTAAAGAAAGAATGCATGGTTTCAAAACAATAGTTATTTTATTTCGAAGGGGGGAGGCCAGTCATGAAACTGGTTTTCAAAGCCTCTCTGATGCGCAGTGCGTCTTGCTGTGCTCTTCTAATCGCCCTGGTGTCTGACTGCTCAAAATCGGACACCAGGTGATTTGCCTCAACCTCCCACCCCACCATAAACATCTCCCCCTTACTCTCACAGATATTATTGAGCACACAGCAAGCAGCAATAACAATGGGAGGAATGTTGGTTGCACTGAGGTCTGACCAACAGCGCCAGGGAGCTTTTAAACATCCAAAGGCACATTCCACCACCATTCTGCATTTGCTCAGCCTGTAGTTGAGCTGCTCCTTACTACTGTCCAGGCTTCATGAGCCATAGGAAGTGGTGGAGCCGTACACCGTGCCCTGGAGGTTGCTAGGAGCCGGGCAGGGAAGACGTTCCCAGAACCCCCGGCCAGGCTACATGTCCGAGGACGGGTACCACTCCTACTGCACTATCTGCTGCGAAGGCACCCAGGAGGACCAGAACGGATCCCCCGAGCTCGTCCCTGGGGAGCAGGAGAGCGGAGTTGCAAGACAGCAGGAGAGCAGAGTTGCAGAAGAAGTGGTGGAGCTGTACACCATGCCCTGGAGGTTGCTAGGAGCCGGGCAAGGAAGACATTCCCCGAACCCCCAGCCAAGCTACATGTCCGATGAGGATGGGTACCAGTCCTACTGCACCGTCTGCTGCGAAGGCAAGGAGCTGCTTCTGTGTAGCAATGCAATCTGCTGCAGGTACTTCTGTGTTTAATGTTTGAAGGTCCTGGTAGGGCAAGGTACCTCGGCAAAGGCAAAAGAGCAAGAGCCCTGGAGCTGTTGCATGTGTCAACCACAGAAGTGCTATGGGGTGTTACAGCACCAACTGGACTGGAATGTACGGCTGCAAGACTTCTTCACCAGAGACAAATGACAGGAATATGATGCATCTAAAATCTAAAAAGGCCCGCACATTTCCTAGAGTCGCTATTCTTGATAACAGAATGCTGCTTGGATCACACCAGCCCCCACAGTAGACTTGCCCACAACAGCAGCGGTGATGGTGAGCTGAGCGGGCTCCATGCTTGCTGTGTATGGCGTCTACACAGGTAGTCCAGGAAAAAAGGCATGAAACGATTGTCTGCCGTTGCTTTCACAGAGGGAGGGGTGACTGACGACATGTACCCAAAACCACCCGCAATAATGTTTTTGCCCCACCAGGCATTGGGAGCTTAACCCAGAATTCCAATGGGCGGCGGAGACTGTGGGATAGCTACCCACAGTGCACCGCTCCGTAAGTTGATGCTAGCCATGGTAGTGAGGACTCACTCCGCCGACTTAATGCGCTTAGTGGGGACATACGCAATTGACTGTATAAAATCGATTTCTAAAAATGGACTTCTATAAAATTGACCTAATTTCGTAGTGTAGATCATACCCTTAGTTAAGCCCTGCCTAAATTCAACCATTTGTGTAGTCTGAATGCAGAATACCTTTTAGCTTAATTTTAGTATGTTGAGTTGTAGCGTAGGCTCCTGCTGGATTGAAAGTGACAGTTTGTCAAAAGGTTATGAAAAAGAAGTGTGCATATGTTTTTTACTTGGATGCTTGTCCTTAGAATTCTTAGGTGAAGAGCATCTTTGTATTTCCTTTTCTTCCCTCTGTCTAATAAAAACCACTTTCCTCACCTGTCAAAATTGAAGGTTTTTGGTGGTGAGCCCCCTCACAATCCTTGTTCACTTTATCTCTTTCAATTAGCTATATTTTCAGCCTAGAACCATGTTGGGTTGCATGCCAAGAAGTCTCTACTGCTGCTCTAAGATGCCTATCTGCTGCTGCTTCTATTACTACTTTATAGGGGATTTGCAGTTGCAAAGAATGGTTAGGAAGCTAGTTTCTTCCTTTCATTGCTTGCAGATCCTTCTCCTATGATGCTACACTCCCTAAAGATTCCTGACACACACTCTCCCTCTCTTTCTTGCCCTTCTTCTTCTCTCCCCCCTTTCCCCAATAAATAACTTTAAAAAATTGAAAACTAAATCACACTGAGGTAGCTAGTGTCAAGCATTATATGAAATGGGGTGATGACATAAATGACTTCATTTCTCCAAATCTGCTTGACTTCTCTTTTTGCCCTACTTCTTTTGTTTTTCTTAAAAAAAAAGTTTAAATGCAGAAACTTGTTAATGCCTTTTTAAGTTTGAAAGTTTAAATGGATTAGTCAGGATATTGAAAATTTGAAGTTTCCACAGTAATAATAAACTTGACCACATTACACACATCCCAGGGAAAAAATTGACAAAATATTATCAATCCAAACAACAATCCAAAATATTACCATACATATCTGTAGTATTAATGTGAACCTTTTTGTGTCTGTTCAAATTCTCAGTGTTAATGTTGCATTTACAAAGATTTTTCATTTAAATGAAAAATGTTGATTGTCAGACATGTTAAAATCCATTATTTATTTGCTCCTAACAATGTTGTCTCCAAGGAACATGGTTTTTAAGACAGGGCAGTGGAGCTGGCAAAAACCTAAACGAGAATTTGAAAGATGCATGGAGTGATATTTTTGTGGTCTTCGGTTTGTTCCTTAATGAAGAGGTCAGATAAGAAATCATTTCTTAATTGGAAGTATGAGTGCTAAAGTAGTGTTTACATACAATTTTTCTTTCATTCAGTAAATTTGTCTGGTTTTAACTGATTTCTGAAAAACATCTATATAGATTTCACTTTAACCTTCAGATTTCAACGAACTTTACATTTATTTAGATTGTAAGCTCTTTGGGGGCAGGGACAGTCTATTTGTTCTGTGCTTGCTTGTACAATACCAATCACAAAGCGGCCCTTATCCAGATGTGGGGCTCCTAGATGCTCCCATAATACAAATAAATAATAAACGTTGGGCTTGAAAAAATCAAAGGTGGGGGATGGAATTGCCTAGTGTGGTGTAATGTAACTTCAAAATAAATTATATAATACACACAC